AATTCAAAATGTCTCCGGACCTTTACTGGTTGATGATTTTCTTTATTCGGAACTGAATGATCTACACGGCAGCATTCTATACCCAGCTATTGCAGCATCTAGGATAGAGCTGTCAGTCTGGGAAAGAATCTGGTTGTTATTTGAAATTGTAAATTCTTTTTTTTTGCAACATAAAACTGACTAAAACCTTTCTAAGTTTAAGTCGACTAAAATGCAACTAATAATAGTTTTCATCCTGAAGACTAAAACTAAACCTAAGATGGCCGTCAAAAACTACACCGCCTGTCTCATAAGGCAGCATCTTTAATATATTTTCTGACTTACAGATTCACACACTTACCTACATGTTTTTATTACTCGACTCCATCTTTTCTGTAATAAACTCCTTTTTCTTCATTTCTTGGGGTGACACCGGTAACAGCAGCTAAATGGTTCAACAGAAAACATTGTAAAGAATCTATACGAGTATATCTATTAATAAATAGTCCTTGACCAAACACTGAGCTTTTTAAGCTACCCGTGCTTTAATCTAATCCACAGCTCATCAAACAGCATCTGGATTTATACTGGGATTAAATTACACACAGCTGGACTCTATTAAAGATTGATCAAATTATTTAAAGGCAAGAGACAAAAGGCGAACATTTTTCTAAAACAATGAAATGATTTAGAGCGTGGGATATCATTTCTTTCATCCCGCTCAGACCACACATTACAAACCTGTGAGTGATGGAAGTTAAAAAGGTTAGCCATCCAGATATGCTCTATATGTCGCTTATTTTGGTGCAGTTAATGTTCAATCATTAGGTTTTGGTTACCTACCTTAAAGGTATAGTGGAGGATTTTTTTCTACTTCCAGGTGAAATCACAATCAGTGGTCCTCCTAACTGTCAATCATTCTGGTGATTTGTTTACATAATGCCGTCCTACATGCTCGTCCCGTTAGATATCTTTTTTTGTGCATGTGCACGTTCAGGCTTATATCTGTGGTGAGCTACGATTTCAGACGGTCATTAAAGCTCACCTTTCTCATCGGCTCTTTGAAAATGGCCGTGGGTCGTAAGAGAAAAAGCGTCTACGAAGTGTATGAAAAGAAAAGAAAGGCCTCAGACGAGGCAGATATCTCCCAGAGAGCTCTCCTTGCAAAGCATTATGGGATTGCCTGTCACACCCGCTGTTGCTACCCGACAGCAGCAACTAATAACAAAGAGGGCGCAGAAATCGCGCAGTGGGGGAGGAGTTACGTGACAGACGGAGCAAAAAGTAGTGATCATCTGTCCGAACGGTCAGTTAACCGAGGTCACTATAAAGTCCGCTCTATAGTCCCTGCTCTATACAGTGATGGAGGGACTTAGGGCGGATGGTCGGGCACAGTAAGCTTCTATTAGCTTTTAGAACAGTAACTTTTAAACAGCGTGTGTAATGCAAGTTCCCTCTCGGGAGCGGGTACAGGGTTGTGCATGTGCATTTTTTTCTTAAAGTGGAGAGGGCGGATCTTTTTAAAAAATCCTCCACAATACCTTTAATACATGCAGCCCAATAACTAATCTAATGTGCACGGCTGATAATAGACACATATATTTAAAATACTAAAAATCTGTAAATTTAATGGTCTTTAGTTTACTGGATGCTGTGATTGCAAAGTAATTTCTCAATACTAACTGCGGCATTGCTGCAGCATCAGACACATTAGAAATGTTTGGTAAATGATACGCAGGTGGCAGCATGGAGGAGCAGACCGGACGCTGTGTGAATTTGTCTCCCATATTTCTCTTTTATAATTCTGCTCTTTGCTAACCTGTTGCGGTTTATCATTAAAATGATTAAACATTTTGGAGCAGCCTTAAAGGAACAGGAATGTGGCATTTTTATTTTAATTTTCTTGTTGTGTCAAACTTATAACTCAGGTTATCGGAATTTTGTTTATTTACTGTTTTTACTGTACTTATTGCTTTAAAAATATCATTTAAAATCCTAGTCCACAAACATCCTCATTCACAGTGTCCCCTAAATTTTCACTTCATGGTATATGTTTACATTATTTATCGTCTGCATCTAAAATATCAAAGATATTTTCAATGTAAATATAGATATGAAATAATACAATATAACCAACAATAACTTAAATTATGTCATTGCTCTAGGTCATCAAATCAATTCAGTTTAGTCTGTCAAATGAACTGCCTGTAGTGTCTTTAAATGTCCAGCAGGTGTCAGTATTCTGTGAGACAGTATCAACGCAGCATCAATACAGTTTGGCTTCAAGATGCCTCGTTAACCATCACTACTGTTAGCTACTTAGCACAGCTAGCCACAGCGCTTTATATCTTGGTCTAACAGTTACTTTGTTCACCAGAAAAAGATTTTTTCAGTTTTGTTATCGATCAGGTAAAACTTAATCGGTCATGGTCCCGACTCAGCACACGGACGCTGCGTGATGTTATTATCGTTGTCTGGGTAACCACAATGTTTTACATCATGTGGCAACGTTTAGCCAATCATGTAGCGTAACGTCACAGCAGATCTGGTACCTCCACCAGAGTCCATTGTTGCAGGACTATATTTTAACCTTTGTGTGAAACTATTCACACAAAGTATTTCCACGCGTGGATCTGCTGCTCGCTACAACTCTCTAACTTTCTGTGTGGAGATAAACTCACTTTCAGCATTTTACTGCCACCTAAAGGGCTGGAGTTAGAAATTTAGTGTCTTATTCTTGTGAAATATAGTGTGAAATCTGCGATGTGGAAATTGCAATTCTAAAATTGCTAATATATTGCGAACGCCAATTAATAGGCCAGCCCTGGATCCAAGCGTAAAACTAAAAAGTCTACGGCTGTAACCTGATGAAACGAGGAAAAGCTCAGGGGGTGTGAATACGTTTGTAAGGCACTGTACCTGCAGTCTTTCACGTCCGCCTGACTCTGTGCATTTAGACAAACCCTAAAACAGGTCAGGGGTCCCAGGTGGCTCTCTCTGAGCCCTCGCCGCCCACCTGATCCCACACCTCCAGGCCCCAGTCTTGGAAGAAGCCTTTGGCCACTCTGGACTCTCGGAAGGTCACTGTGAGGGAGTTGAGGGTGACGTCTGTGACCGTCACCTCTCCTGGGGCCATGACGGGTCGCCACAACTGTTCTGATTCAGCCGCGCCGTCTGTGCTCCATTTATCGGCATTCCTATGTCCTAAAGGAAAGGTCAAAAGGTCAAACCGGAAGCTGAAACCAACTCATCTGTTCTGGAATCAACACTGATGATGCCTCACTCATCCATACAGTCTTTTAGTTAGTTGAATGAAAACTAGATCATGGTTAGATCAACCCTGCTGACCGAGCGACACACGTACCGCTAAAAACTGCTTCTCTCATCTCAGCCGCCTCCTCTTCCTCCTCTCTGTGTTCACTATCCTCTGCACTGTTCTCCTCCTCCTCCTCCTCCCATTCCTCTGGGGAAGAACTCTGGTGGTCTAAGTTTAGGCATCTGCTCCGTGTGCTTTTTCGAAGCGCCGCTTGTATTCGAGACCCGGTCCTGCAAGGAACATACGTCTCATCTTCATCCTCGTCTTCATCGTCATCGTCGGGAAGCAAAGAGCGCGTCAGAGAGAGACGAAGGCGAGGAGGAGGCTTGGCGGGAATCTTGTGAGCGCTGCGCAGATCCATGGTGTAAACAGTGTTCTGAAACCCAAAAAGAGGAATATAAGTAGTGTTAGGAGCACAAGTATGGAGCTAAATTAGTGCTGTAAAGTTTGTTTAAATCTCTAATTTTTTTATCATTGAAAAAATTATTTAATTATGAAAAAATATTGAGAACCTGAAAAAGGGATTTAAACTAAAAAGAAATGTTTAGAATTACTTCTGAAATTCTCAAGTTCCTTTTTGTGGCTAATTTTTTTTTTTCAATTTCACCTGGGAAAATTTCTTTTTATTTTTTTAAAGACATCCCATAACAAAATAGTCCCACCCAACAGCGGATGAGCAATTTGAAAGTGGAACAGAGAAAATCTGAAACTGAAAATCTTAAATTAAAAAAAAAAATGTTTTTTTTTTCAGTATAAAGAAACTTATTTTTGAACAAACCTTCTGGCCTGAATTTAGCTCCATACATTTCAGGATTTTCTTTTCTTAAGAAGAAAACATCTCGAAAGATTTGAAGTTAAATAAGAATGCAAACTTTACTTCTCAGAAAGGTTGATTTAAATAAAATGCAGAAATGTAGAAAAACATTTTACCTGCAGAAGGACTCGTTTTGACTTTGATCCTTTCCTCCTGTGGCCAACAACTCTCTCTTTTTCTTCTCTAAAAAAATAAAAACATAAAAAAGGAATAAAAAAGCATACATCTGATTTTTAAATGTCGGTAGTTTGGAAATAAAGCTTGATTTCAGTTCTCTGGTTGTTTTTCTGTGTCAGCCTTGCATGGAAAATAAATCCAACACCACCTGAGAGACGTGAAATCAGCTGATATGTAAATCAGGAGATTTGTTGTATCTAGAGCGGGTTTTTGGGCCGTATGGAGGAGCTTACTTGTCCTCGAAGGCCTGCACCAAGCGACGGTCCAGAATGTGCTCCTCAGGTTCCCATGTGCTGTACCTGTGGCACATCGCAAAAAAAATAAAGAAAAAACTAATTTTCCTTTTTCCTTTTCTGATAAAACTGATGAATAAAAAATAAGAAACTTTTTAGACTCAATTCTTACTGTTTTATATACATATATTTTTTTAATACTTTGTCAATAAAAAAAAAAAAAAGAATCCAAACATTTAAATCTCTAAACTTGGTTTAGATCAGTTGTGCTCGGAAAGCTTTTTTTACTCGTTAGGAATTCCAAAAATTTTTGCTGGAGTGAAAATACGGGGTGAATTTTCTTCCATTATTGTTAAACATGTTCTGTAATCACTTTTTTCGAGCAGAACACAGTTGCTCTTGAAACGCTAACTTATTGTTTCAGATTACTCCTGAGATGAAGGTCAGGTTGCGGTAATGTTGATTATTCTACCCCACAACATGACTACAGATGCTGCTTTTTGACTAGTTGCTGGAAGAAGATAGAAAATCTCCCTAACCTTCAGATAGAGGGAAGCAGGTTTGACTATTTCTTTCATATTTCATCTGAGGGTCTGATCTAGTATCTAAATGTCTCACTCAGGTTAATTCTGATTTTTTTCCCCCCCTTTTTCTCTCAGTTCCTATTAAGCATCCTGGAAATGCTGCTGATCCATCCATTCTCTGTCATGCTTTATCCCAGCTGTGGTCACAGTTTTGTATTTTCATCTTTCTTTTTATTTATTTTTTCTATTTTCTGTAAAGTGACCAGAAAGGCGCTGTCAAATAACATGTATTATTATTATTATTATTACAGTTGGTGCCTATCTCCAGCTGTCTATGGGCGAGAGGCGGGGTCTAGCCTGGACAGGTCGCCAGGGCAACACAGAGACAAACAGGACAAACAACCATTCACACGCACACTCACACCTACAGTAAGGAGAATCTAGAGAAGCCAGTTAACCTAACAGTCATGTTTTTGGACTGTGGGAGGAAGCTGGAGTACCCGGAGAAAACCCACGCATGCTCAGGGAGAACATGCAAACTCCATGCAGAAAGACCCCGGTCCGGGAATCGAACCCAGACCAGTGCTACCCACTGCGCCGAAATGCTGCTTATATTATATTCTGATTATGGTACTGTATGGTCGACATATTAAGTTTTCTATGCAGTGATGTTTCTACATTTTACCTTTCGATGATTCATAAAAGACAATAAACAATAGGGGGAATATCAGAATTTTGAATATCAGGATCCTCACCATATTCAAATATAAAACACGGGAAAAAATACTATTGTGGGGGATTAGATAGATAGAAGCGCTCTCCTGCTGTCAAACATGGTGGTGGCAGCATCATGCAATGGGATCAGGGATGTAAAAAAAAAAAAAAGACTGATGATTAATTTTTTTTTAGATCAAAACTTATTTCCTCCCATTAGTTGATAATGTCAGCTTGTATCGTTTTAATGTCACATCAGGCAGGACAGCATGGAGGACAAACGGTGGAAACGTTGAACGGATAATAAAAACATCTGCATGAAGCATCGTCCTTAAAAATCCCAAAGCTACGATGGAGTATTAGGGCCAGGCTAGAATTTTTCTTTTTTTTTTTTTAAATACAAGAAAAAATCATAACATTATGAGAATAATGTAACATTATAAAGTCGTAATACTATGACTTTATTCTCATAGAATAAAGTCGCAACATTATCAGAGTAAAGTCATATTACAAGAACAAAATCGTAAAATAAAGGTGCATTAAGTAATAATATTACAAGAATAAAATCATCCTAACATTACGAGAATA